GGGACGAGGGCATATTTACATCTCAGCAAGTGGCTGTGCAAGGCTGCTGCCATACCAACGTGCAAAACAGTCCCAGGTATGACGTCCCTCTTCCAACAGTCCGTGCTGGGTATTACATGTGGGTCAGATGCAATATGAATGGGAGAGTGCCTCAGGCCCAGGGTAGTGTAGGGTGACCCAATCTGAGAGGGGCTGGTCTTGCCTTGACTACACTGCTCATGGCTGCAGAGGAACAAGAGCCCTCAGGGCACAGAGGTGCCAGACCATGGCCTCTGCCCTGAGCCCTGGGTCCCTTTTCTCCTGTCAGCCCCAGAGACCCTGCCCCTGAGCAGGCAGCCCAGCAGCTGCTAGAGGAGAGGAAGTAGAGGAGAGAGCTGAGCCCCCCTGACCAGCCAGCCTAGGCCTGGGGAGGTTTTTGTTTAGGGATGTAGCACTGTGGGAGGATAAGAAGTTCCTTGAACACAGTAATAATCTGCCACATCTTCAGGCTCCACACTGCTGATTGTGAGGGTGAAATCCTTCTCAGCCCCACTGCCACTGAACCGGGCAGGGACTCCTGAATGCAGCTTGGAAACCTCATAGATGAGTAGCCGAGGAGATTGTCCAGGTTTCTGTTGCAGCCAGTGCAGATAAGTGTATCCATTACTGTGTTGGACACTCTGACTGGCCTTGCAGCTGATGGTGACTCTTTCTCCTGGGGTCACAGACACTGAGGCTGGAGACTGGGTCAGCACAATTTCCCCCCTGGAACCTAAAACCAGGAAATAATGATGAACCAACATGAAATAAACAGAACAATGTCCTTCCACTTTGATATTCAGCCCACAGCAGCCTGGCTCAGCAAACCCCACTGACCTCCTAGAAAACCACACTCCCCATTGGACTATGCTGGCTCCTGGCCCCAGAGATTCTAAGCTTCTTTGAATTCTCTCATCTTATGACAAATTGCACGTCTGCATGCTGTGTTGTCCCATGTTCTCACCTGGGATCAAAAGCATGAGGAGCCCACAGAGAAGCTGGGACAGTGACCCCATTTTGCAGTGTCTCCTCCCCTGTGGCTGCTCTGCCCCCAGCCCTTTTATCTCCCTGAGTCTGCAGGCCCTCCCCTTGGGGATCTCTTGATGCAAAGTGGCTGAGGGTGTGGGGTTTTTTGGAGCAGAAGTGACTGACTGCTGCTCAGAGGAAGGCCCTGAGATCTTGATACCCTGAAGATGCCTCTCCTCCTTGTGTAACGGGTACTCCTGCTATTCCCACCACTCCTTTGCTTTTTTAGTTTTAGTCAGGTGTATGGTTTCATGGGGTTGTGGGGTGGTGAGTCTGTGGCTAGGAACACTCACCTTCCTGAGATCAAATGCTGCCTTGGTCACTTACTAGCTATGAGAACCTAGGCAAGTTACTTAATCCTCTTTGCCTCAGTTTCCTCATCTGTAAAATGAGCTGAAGAAGAAAATGCAAACCACTCCAGTATCTTTGCCAAGAAAAGCCCAAATGGGGTTACAGACTGTAAAAAGTAACTGAACAACAATTTAAAAATTTCCAAAAGTCCAGAAGTATTGCATGAGAATTAATGTTGTCTAGTGAAAAGAGGTCAGCACCTAATGGCACCTTAGTCCAACCCATGATCTGATATCCCACTAATTAATGATCCTTTTGGGCTCTTAGCATGATGCCTCCTAAAATGGTAGAACTACTATCCTTTTATTCCTTGGTATGGTTTAGGGGAACCAGCTTTCTCTCCCACTCCCACTTCCCTGAAGAAGTCAGCTACCCTTAAGTAACAGCATTTGGGGATGTTTGGGGAGGGCAGGAGAGAAAAGTCATTGAGATCCAGAAGAGTCTGGGTCAAAGAAGGCAGGACTTAATGGACACTGGCCTGTTGGCTTTTGGGTAGCCAAGGGTAAGGGTAGCTGGGTAATGGGAGTCTGGACACAGAAATGGAGCCCAGAAGAAAGCAAGGTAATGTCTACCTTTTATTCTCTTATTCTTTATTTATGGATCAAAAATTCAGGGAAATTTTTTTGAGGAAATAGAATCTAAAAAGTTGTCCAAAGGCTGGAATAATGGGCCACATTGAATGACATGGGTTTTACTAGGAATTTTCCTGAAGTTCTGCCCCTGAATAGGAAAATAGAAGAGGCAGCACAAGGAGAGGTTTGGGGACTGGGGAAGGGAAATGTGGGCAGTCATTGAGTCATCCACAAGCATTTAGGAAGCTCTTATCATGAGCAAGGGAAGATAAGATGTGCAGGGGATAGAAAGGAAGGCTAAAACAGTCCCTGCCCTCAAGGAGCTGACATTCTAATGGGAAAGACATGTTGTAAATGAATAGAGACCTACAAGGTATATGAAGGCAATTAGGAAGGCAGGAAGTGAGTGGTGAGGAAGGGAAATACTAGACAAATTCTTTTGCAGAAAGTAGATTTTTATTTCAGTCTGAAAATTCCCCAGACAGCAGAGAAGGAGGTGAGGGAGAGAGAACATTCCACCCATGGGGAACAGCCAGGAAAAAGGCCCAGAACTGAGAGATGGAGTGTCTTATGTGAGGAACAGCAAGGCCAGAGCCTTGGGACCACAAAATAATTTGAACAGAGTAAAAGGTAAGATTGCAAAGGCAAGAAGGGTCTGGTTTCTGAAGAACTTTCAATGCCAAAGAGAGGATTAGAAGCATTTATGGCAATACCTGGGAGAGCAGGAGGATTTGTGCAATGGAAACCACAATATGAATCAATTGGCTTCCTATGCAGAGCTAAAAAGAGAGAGAGAGAGAGAGAGAGAGAGAGAGAGAGAGAGAGAGAGAGAGAGAGAGAGAGAGAGAGAGAGAGAACTTTATATTAGGATTTATTCATAATTAAAAGTGCCCAAACTTTCACCTTTCTGCTCACCTGAATCCCTTAAATGCAGAAATGTCCTAAGAAAATTTTGGAATTGGGACAATGGAGAACCCTGAACTCTAAGGTGCTTTGACAAGATCTAGTTAGGAAATGTTAAGGGTTCCCCAGATTGTGTTACAATGTGAATTTAATGGAAGGGAAAGGGATGACAGGCAGGGAGAATGGGAAGAATTTGCCAATAGTTGGAACATAAGGCAGACCCCTTAAAGGTGAGAGGTTCATCAGACTTTACATTAGCATAACAGGCATGGGGCACACTCAGCTTTGCCCTTCTTAGGGGCTGATCAAGATATTCCCTGCATTGGGGCATCTAGGTGGTGCAGTCAATATAGCTCTGGCCTTGGAGTCAGGAGGACCTGAGTTCAAGTGCAGCCTTAGACACTTAACGCTTACTAGCTGTTTGACCTTGGGCAAGTCACTTAAGCTCAATTGCCTCACCAGAAAAAAAAAAAAGATATTCCCTGCATGGTTCTGGTCCACTACATGAAACTTTGTGATTCTCTTTCTGGTCAAGTATGACTGAGGGTTCATAATGTCCAGGTGATGAGGAAATCTAATTGCCTGTTTATCTGAAAGGACTAAGGACTCAGCGCCCTCTAAGGTAGAACTTGATACAGATAAAAACGTCCAGTGTGAGGGAGGGCATCTTTTAGCTGCTGTGGAGAGCCAGATAGGGCAAAGTTGGCTGCCCTATCTACTTCCCTCTTGGCCATGAGAGCTGGAAATAGATGGCTGCCTCTTTCTCTTTGTATTTATTCTTTTCTCATCTTAGGGGAAAGATGAAACCAAGATGGAAGAGTACTGGCAGGTCTAGAGGTCTGTGGTTTTGGTGCACTGGAAATGCCTCCTGGCACCTGGCTCAGGGCAGAGGACTTGTCTGTCTACTTTGGGAGCAGAGAGATATACTGAGGAGAGATAGGGGCAGGCTTCCTGACTCCTGGTGGAATGAGATGATAGTTATGGGTTCCAGAAAGGGAAAGATGGTAGACATCCAGCAGAAAAGTCCAGTGGAGGAGAGTTGTATAGGGCCTCACAAAGGGAGGAAGGACTTCCATAGCTGAATGTCATGAACTTCCACTTTCCCACCTATGTTCTCTAACCAGGTGCTTACAGTACTGTATTTGGTTTTGTGCCCATCTTTCCTTCCATGGACTCTGTGTGTATCTGCGGGAGAGGGTGCTCTAGGCTTTGGCTGGGAATGTTTTTGGTAACTGTTCATGAGTGCTTTTAATGAATTAAGGCTAATTGTTGATAGGGAGCTTAAGGAAACTGTAGAATTAGGAGTGTGGTCCCTCAGCATCACTCCTAGTAATTAATATTCCCCCTCCTGGGGACCCAATCTGGAGCTGTGACTTCCAGGCAGCAACATGGCCCAAAAAGTGTCTGTGTGTTGATTTCTCTGTGTATATATGTTTGCATGTGTTTAAATAACATGCAATAATTTGTTTATGTCAGTCTCAACCTGGCTATTTCTAAACTTTTTCTGTTGCTAATTTTTCATATATTTAGTTATTAATTTTTTCTTTGCTGTCACTTCTCAATGACCTAAACCTCTGATTTTTACCCCAAAAATAGTGAAGCCAAACCAATACATCGTCCATGTGTGACATAGATTCCTGGCACCCCAGGTATAGTCCAACACACTCTTCTGAGGGGAAGGGAGCATGCTTGACTGTCAGTCCTTTCACACCAAGATTGAGCATTGCATTTAACAGATTTCTATGTCTACTCATTGGTCATTCGGTACATTTTCCTCATAGATGTGATTACTTTATTGTGTGTAGGTTCATTCAAAGCTTCCTAGTTTTTTTCTGATTTCTGTAATTTTTTTTCTGCTGTGATGATTTGCTTTTACATTTATGTACCAAATATCTGCAGTCTTTCTCCAGAGCATCTTGCCTTCCAGTTCTTTGCTACTCCTTAATATGTTGTTCTAAAGCTTTCATTTTTAAATTTTTTATAATTTAACCTCTAAAAATGCATTTCTATACACAGCAAAACAGAAAAAGGGGCTCTCTGTAAAACCATGAGTCTCCATTTCATGCTGTTTGCCTTTTGGAAATGTCATATTTACTCCTTCCTCCCATGGGAGAGCTTTGGATGCCTGACCACCATAGTAAAGCTGAATGACCAGTAATCCCCTGGGTTCAGGGGCTGCTTTGACTTTTGCTCTGAAGAAAGCAGTTGCTTTCCTGAGCTAAAGGGCCTAAGCACCTGGGGAAGTTTTTCTTCAAGGGTGCAGCACTGTGGAAGGGTAGTTATAAGTTTGCTGACATTGGTAATGTCCAACATCTTCAGCCTCCACACTGCTGATCGTGAGAGTATAATCTGTCCTTGACCCACTGCCACTGAACCACGCAGGGACCCCAGAGTCCAGGGTGGAAGCATAATAGATCAGGAGCTTGGTAAATTGAACTGGGGACTGCTGGTGCAAGGATATACCATAAACATCCTGACTGGCTGTGCAGCTGATGGTGACACTTTCCCCAGGAGCAATAGACAGAGATACTGGAGATGGACTCAGCAAAATAACTTCACAGGACCCTTTGGTGGAAAAAAAAATAAGAAGAAATAGATTAAAATCAGGAAGCATGTCCAGAATTTTCTGACTGACTTGAGATGTCCTTCCCATTGATTATAGGAACCAGCCCCTCATCGTGCTCCATTTCCACAACCCATCTTCAATTTCCAAGTTTTGGAATCTATTTATATAGCTCAAGTGAACATTTGTTAACTTGTTAACACCTGCGGCTGATCTTACCCTGGACCCAGAGCACCAGCAGCCAGAGGAATTTGGCTGGGGAGGTCATTGTTTCCCATGTAGACCTTCAGACTTGAGACCTCTGAGGTCATGGTGAGACTGATGGGGATGAGAGCATATTTATGTCTCAGGCAGTGGTTGTGCAAGGTAGCTGAGATCTGAGTTTGCAAAACACTTCCAGGTATGAGGTCTGTCCTCCAAAAGTCAGTGCTGGGTATTACATGTGGGTCAGACTAGCTCAGTAGTCTACGTGTGGTAAGTTGTGACCTCATGGTCCAATGATCTCTCCTTCCATCTCTGCAAAGCCCACCTGGAAGGTCCCACGGTAAGGTTGTACCGAGTGGCTCATTGTGGTCATAAACAAGAGAAACTTCTATTCTCTGGGGAGAAGAGATAACTGTTGGTTTTGAAAAAAATTAATTAAGAAAATGGAGAGACAGCTGCCTGGCTGGAGGCAGCAGAGAAGGCCATCAGAACATAGAAATGAGCTGAGCTAGGATTTAGTTTCAGAAGAGAGAAAAGGGAAACTTTCAAGGCAGCTGGAAGAACAGGCTCAGAGTAGATAAGACACGATATAGCCACCTTGGTATTGCAGAACAACAATTCAGGACAGACTGAAAAATGGGCTCGGGGAGCTGGATCACACCATTGGGGCGCTGTACAGAACTGTCTCAAGGCTTCATTCTGCCTTGTTGAGTACATCTTTGTCTTCATCCCATGTGTCTCTGATTTCCACACATGCCTATAGTCTGTACTTTTCACTTCCTCACTAACTTGATTCAACTCAATTAAAGGTGACCAAAAGTGATGGAGACTGTTCCAAGCCAGCTGAAATGACTTGCTGATTAGAAGTTTGTAAAATGTGTGATGAGGCATATGTATGATCAGAAACAGAGTTGGCAAGGATGAGAGTCATTAGAGGTACAGTCCAGTTTCTATCGATTTTGCCTTCAGACATTTAAAGAATCACAGCAAAATGTTCAGTGTTTGGGTTGAAATTTGATAAGGACTTACTGGAAGGTCACAGTTGTGAATGGCACAGGGAGGGAAAGCTTAGAGATTGTATTCTGTGTTGGGACAGATGAGACTATGAGTCTCTTTATGTTTTTAATCCCGTTCTAGGTCCTGCTATTCCTAGGCAACGAATTGGTACAATGGATAGTTTGCTGAGCCTGGAGCCAAGAAGTCCTGAATTCAAATCTCACCTCTGACACTGAAAAACTGTGTGATCCTGGGCAGTTCACTTAGCCTCAGTTTCCTCAACTGTAAGATGGGGATAATAATAACAACGGGCTTTACAGAGGTGTTATGAGAATCAAAATGAGAGCATATTTGTAAATAGAGTGTTTGCTACATGATAAGCACTGTATAAATCACCTGATTCCTCCTTTCATCAACTTGTCCTTTTTGCCCAAGCTAACCTGCCCATCTTCCTTCACATGAATTCTCTGGATTCTCTGGCCATCTCCTTGACCTCATGCCACCAATCTGTTTTATGTATCTACATTGCATTTCTCTCCCCTGACTCCTCCTACACTAATGAAATAGCTGTCTCTAAAGTCACCGCTGACCTCAATCTTTTTTCTGTCCATACCCTTCTTGACCTTGACCTCTCTGAGGTACATGAGACTGTGGATACTAGAGTTACAGAGCTTCCACAAGAAGAGAGACTGAGAACTTCATATGACACCAAATCCATGAAGAGACCCAATAATTTGATCCTGGCTTCAGATGCCCATCTATAAATGCCTGTAGCTTGGATAACCATGAAGTAAACTAGATATGCTAGGACAGAAGGCAAATTTGGCCTTAGATGTTTTATTTTGCCTTTGATACTCTAGACTTGAGAATGACTCCTAAATTTCTTATTCAAAATAATCTGGATAGATAATAGTGTGTATGTGTGTGTGTGCATATGTGTGTGTGTGTGTGTGTGTGTGTGTGTGTGTGCAATAGTAATAACAATGTATATTAAGCAGGCATAAACAGAAGAGGAAAATCAGGAATTGGAGGGAGAGAAACATGGTGTTAGAGATCTTCCGGGTAAATATGTAAGAAAAGTAGAATAAACACTGTTGTCCTCAGACTGCATTTCACCAGAGTAGGAGAAAATAGATGAGTGGTTCTAGACACAAATTGTTAGGCTGACATGAAGATTTGACCCTAGAATTAAGGGGGTCTTCCAGTACTCAAGTAATGCAGCCTCTCACAATTCAAAAGGGGAGAAATGATGATTTTCATGGATTCCATAATGAAATTCTCATTCTTTAAATTGGAGACCACCCAAGTAGGGCAACTACTATTCTAGACATGATTCTACCCAATAACCAGGTAGCTTAGTGAGAAGTGATCATGGCATCTTAAAACTTGTAATACAAAATGAGAGGAAAACCAGGTGCCATCTGGCCTGCTGCCTAGACTTATGAAGAACAGATTTCAAAGGGCTCAGAGGAGGAATAGGCAGGACCTTGGGGGAGTACAGTAGCCTCCCCAAACTGTTAAGCAAATAAACCCAAAGAGCCTTGACAGCATCTTCCTGTCCGAATAAGACCAGTAGTAACAGTGAAACTCCCCCTTTCTTTCTAGATGGGGAATTTGAATATCAGCCAGCCACCCATTTTCCTCCATACTTCCCCCATTTTGAATCGGTGCCTGTGTTGAAGCTTGTCCTCCACCCCAGGTCTGAGCTCTATGCTCTCTGTCCCCAGTGGACTGGCTGTGTTCAATCCAGATAAGAAAGGTTTAAAAATCAATCCCACTTCCTACGTGTTGGCCACCTACCTCCATCCAGGATCCCAGTGGCTTTCCCTGTGTGTGTCCAGACTTCCTAACAGCCCCTCCACTGGGTGAAAAGTCCCTCTGCATTGAACTCTCTTGCCTCATTCTCTCTGGCCATTCCCTTATGCTGCATGTTATCCAGCAGTGCTGAGCCTCCCAGCCAAGCCAATTTTGTCTTTAGGAAGACCAGTCATTGTTTAGAACTATGACAAACAACTCAGCAGCCACATCTTAGCCCACTTTGACTTTGACTTTGAGAACGTAGTAAGTTAAAGCTGAATCCAGAACTGTGAGCCTCCTTCCTTCTCTCTGACACCTGGGCTTTTCCCCTTTGCAACATCAGTGGCCCATTAAGGAGATTGCTGACTTTCTCTGAATGGGATTCAGGTATTCTGAAACTGTTTGAGTCTATACGAAGACAAACCCTCGGACTAGAATTTTATGAGAGAAAGCAGCACAGGAAGGGCTGGAAGACCTCCAGGGATGAAAGTCAGAAGACATTAAGAGAAACTATTCCAATGAGGAAGAAAAGAGTGTGTTTATGGGGGAGGAGAGTCATGGAAAGAGAGCGCATGTGGAGGCGGAGCCCTTGCCCAGTAGGTGGCAGCAAATACCCATGTAGTCTCCCAAGGCCAGGCCTCTATGCTCTATGCTGCCATCTTGTGGCCACAACTAGAAGAGAAGTAGTCCCTCAATGGGTCCACACACCAATATCAGCCCTAATATGTTGTGGCTGGCCTTTCAGAAACCGGCCTCACAAGCCGCTCACTGTGGCATGGGATTGTTACCGGCTCTTTAACACTCTCTAGCTAATGGTGAATTCACGGAACAGTTGTTAGGATGTGCTTATGATGGGGGAAAAATAAAAACAATCATAACCTTTGTTACCTTACCCATAAGCATAACGTGCTTCCCCCAGGATGAATTTAGAGTTAAGATAGGAAAGTCTCTCTGAAAGTGGAATTTAAATTTGAAAGAAGACTTGAAAAGTCATTCAATCCCCTTTGATTTCCTTAATTTTTCTTTCTTCCTTTCATGGTTGGATATAGTTTATTAAATCAAGGAGTTTTGGCTGAAAAGTGGAGCGTAGGGGTGATTTCATGGTTTTTGGGCGGTGAATAAGGCAGAGTGTTGGCAATTTACTGCTTACTCTGCCATCTTGACTCTCAAAAGTCTCCTTTCTCAAATGTTTTCAAGTTATCTGTTGGAGGCAGGTGGGGGGGGCACAGCAGATACAACACCAACCTTGGACTCTGGATGACCTCAGATGTCAGACACTTGGCGCTTACTAGCCGTGAAACCATGGTCAAGTCGCTTAATCCCAATTGCCTCTCACACAAAAAATAATAAATAAAAATAAAGTCATCTTTCTTCACAATGCTATTTTAATTATATTTTGTCATTGTATAGATCACTCTCCTTGTTTTGCTCATCTCAGTCTGAATCAGTTCATACAAGTCTTCCCATGTTGATTCAAAACCATCCATTTCACCATTTCTGAGGGCACAGTAACATTCCATTCCATTCACACACACCATAATTTGTTTGGCCATCCACCAATAGACGAACAGCTGCTTATTGTCCAATTCTTTGTTATTTTTACAAAGGCTTATTTTGGGGTGCAAAAAATAATTTTCAAAATTATAGGATGAAAGAGCCATGTTAGATAGATGATTGAAAAACAGTCTAGCAGAATTAATGGATTGAATCTCAATATGAGTTATCAAGACTTAATGTGGCACCCAAAGAAGCCAATGGAGATTTGGGCTGCAAAATAAGGGTCTAACTTCCAGGAACAAGGAGCAGGTTTTCTTTCTGTACTCTGCCCTCTTCCGACCTCATCTGGAGCAATGTGTTCAGTTCTGGGTTTCCTGCTTTGCAAAGGGCATTGATAAACTAGAGCTTGTCTAGAGGACACTAATTGGATTGGTGAAGGACCTTGAGTCCATATCTTTGAGGCTCACTTGAAGCAACTGGGGATACTTAACCTCTGGGCAAGTGAAGACCCAGGGAGAACATGAAATGTTCAAATATTTCACGGGCTGTCAATTGGGAGAGAGTTATTTAACTATGTAGTGCTTGTTCTATTAAGCTAGAAGCCTTCCCAATTAGATAAAGAGTGAAGCAAGGATGCCCATTATCACCAATGTTATTCAATCTCATGCCAAAAACACTAGCTATAGCAATAAGATATGAAAAAGAAATGAAAGGAATTATAATAAGCAGTGAAGAAACACAACTACCGCTTTTTGCAGATGATAGAATCCTAGGGAATCAACTAAAACCTAGTTCAAATAACTCAGTAATGCTGCAGGCTGTAAAAGCATTTGTCCTGAAAGAACAGAATTAGATGGAGGAAAAATGGAAGTTAAAAAAATGCAAACGTAGGCTTGAATTTTAGAAAACACTTCCTAGCAATTAGACATATCCAGAATACAGAATGTGGAATAGGCAGCTTCAGGAGTGGTGAATTTTCCCTCTAAATATGTCTCCAGTCAGAGGCCAGATGACTCTTTTGGGAGATGTTTATAGAGTTGATTATGTTCAGTTATAGTTCAAACTTGATGACTAATAATTCGTAAATTCTGTGATTCTGGCTATTTTTTGAAATGATCTGACTTTACCTTTCTCCATATTAAATTTAAATTTAAAATTTAACTCATTATATTTGGATCAGTGTTCTAGCCATTCAAGATGTTAATTTTATTTTTGGATATTGACTATCACCCACTGTGTTAGTACCCTTCCCAGCTGCATAGAATCTGTGAGTCTGACTCATTTGCCATCAGCACTTTTATCCAAGTCTTGGAGTAAAATGTTAGACATCAGAGACCAAGCACAGATGCCCTAGGGCCTCTACTGGAACCATCCTTTGAAAGTTGTCACCATCAATGACTTTGCATTGAGTCTAGCAATTAACCAGTTTCTTAATGCAGATCACTCTCTGGTCTTTTACCCCTCTTTTCTCCATCTTGACGAAAAAGAGATCATGAGAAGCTGTTTCAAAGGCTTTCCTGAAAGCAATGTAACCTCTAATGGGGCATTATCTTGATGAATGAACTCTGTGAAATTCCATCCAAAGGAAATGAGATTTGTCTGCCTTTCAGTGTGATCTTACTGTTGTGTACTGGGAGAGGTCAGCTGACCTGTGGTGGCATCTCTCCATCCTATCTTCTCTGACAGAGCTCTCACAGGGATTGAGTTTGACCCTTGATGTCATTTATTTAGCAGGAGAAAGAGAAGGAGAGAGTTGAAGAAGTGAATGGCACTATTCTACTAGCTGGGGCCAGGATAATGGTAGGCTCCAGGGTGAGTCTAAACTTCATCTTGATGAGGCAGAGAAGGGAAGCTGAGATCACTGGTCCTCTGCAGCTGAAAGTAGCCTAATTAACCAGCATAGGCTTGAGGTTTTGCTCCCAACACAGATGCAAACACTTCAAACTATGTTAGATGGTTTAGGGAGAAAGGAATGAAACAGAAATTGGAGGAACTCCTCAGAGTTCCTCAAATAACCACGACTGAAAATGAGAACTTTTTAATTAGTGAATCACTGGGCACAGGTGACTGGAGGGTTCTGGTGGGTCTGTGCTGGAGTGTGACAGTGAAATGATGGATGATAGCCACTTGTAACCCAGGTGATAACACAGGAATCACTGGAATTTTTAGGCTCCAGCCTCTAACAGGGTCACTCTTGATCTGAGCAGCCCCAAGGACAGGAAGACAGCTTCAGAGGGGTTAAATAAGCTTGTTTTATTCTAGTCTAGTCTTCTCAAAAGGAGTTTGCTGATAATGGGTGCACCAACTCCTACAGCATTCCCTAATCACCTTTCTCTCAGGGGCTGGCAAGAAGGGGGGCCAATAACTCCTATGTCTCCATGGGGGACAATCAAGACAGCACAGCATTCCAGCCTGTGCACTCCCCTAAGTCGCCACAAGCCTCAATGGGGGCCGGCTCAGACAGATACAGCATTACACTGTCACATTCCCAAAATCACCACTGACTGACCAGTGCTCTCTTGATTTATAGAGAAGCACACAAAGAAGGCAATTTGCCACATTAAGCTCACAAGTTAATTTTAGCAATATCGTCATGACCTAGCACACGACAAGTGTAGTAATCATTACTTTATGTCACCCCTATGTCTCACCACGCAGTCACAGTGGAAACTGTTTACAAACATGATCATGGGAATTATTGACTATTTTGGCCATGGATGCTGGGTCCTGTTATCTAAAAAACAATAACACAAGCGTCCTTACTTACCCCACTCATCGAAGTCCCTCATCTGATGCACTGCTGGTTTCTAACTTGCTTGGCCCTAACTGAACTTGTGACTTCTTTGGGGATCGCAGAGGGGGACAAGAACATCAGAGAAAAGGACTCTTGGCATCTGCTTACTCTGTTCCCCTGGCTCTTACCCAAGAAGACTGTTCATGCTTTTTTTTTTTAAGATAGGACTGCATTGTCTCTAGACCAAATAAAAAGCCCTAGAGAGAACATGTAGTAATGATAATTGCACAAAGAAGAAATATGTTGTTACTTTTAGAATAGATATGATAGTTCCTAATTCACAAGGTTGCTGTGAAAAATCAAAAGGTTGTCTAAAAATAGTATTTCATGGGTGTGAATTTGTGAAGTACACTTATCCATTCCACATCAGGGGGTTAGGGATGGGGGATCCCCAGAAATCTTAAAAATCCAAGGAAAAATATTAAGCCCTCCCTTCGTGGCAGAGAAGAAGTCCGAATTGTGATGGTATTAAAAGATAAAATATGTTGATATCATACAATACTCTACACTTATTCTATGTATTTCTGAGTTTCTAAACTTTTTCTGGGTCATCTGCTGGCCTTTTCATGTTGTCTGTGGCTCCTACAAAATTCCCCAAAGACTTCTGGTGCCAAACTGGCAGAGTGAGGAAAGAACCCTCTGAAGCCTCCCAAATTGCCTTCCACACTAGAAAACCGCCTCAGAAATTATCTAGGAGCAGGGACACTGTTTACCAGCCTGGCAGGAAAGGTCTGTCTTGTGGGGTAGGAGGGAAGTGAGGTCCAAGAGCAGCAGCTGTGGCCAGCCTCACAGCTTGGGGATAAACAAGTCAGTTTATAATTAAGCATGCTCCCTCCTACCCAAATCAAGCTGATTAAAAGTCACATGAGTCAAGATATTTTACTTGTTTGGATAAGAAAAAACAGGGTCAGATCACTCTGAACACTGATTGCATTCTACATGGCACAAACAGCTTTTCAATCATATAGGTTTAAAGGGAGAATGAAGTAAGTAGTAGTCAGGAATGTCAAGGAGATTATACCATCCAGTGGTTTGTATGTTTAAATTTTCAAACTGTAGCTTCATGAGAGTGTACTTATCATACCAGTTCTAATTGTTAAATTTTCTCTAAGACAGCATCAGTCTCATTCTTCCCCATCAGGTGCTAAATGATATGGCTCGTAACTCAGACTAAAGATTGTAAGTTAAAGACCTCAGCTGAAAAATAAGTATCAGGATTTTGATGACAAATGGTTCTGGCATGTTAGTCTGACATCGATGGGGTTTTGAGATTAAGTAAAGGGGGATGAGCATAAAGAGGTTTGAAAGGACTGAAAGTTCCCTATCAGTTATGAAAGGTATATGTATGTGTTTCAGAATATGGAAGGAAGGAGATAACATTTATTAAATGCCTACTGCTTAAATGTTCAACAAATACTATCTCATTTGGTTGTCACAACAACCTTGGGAGGTAAGTACTATTTTTATCCCCATTTTTCAGAGAAGGAAACTGAGGCAGACAACAATTAAGTGACTTGGCCAGAGTCAGAAAGCTAGTAGGTGCCTGAGGTTGGATTTGAACTTAGTTATTTTGGACACCAAGGGAAGCATTCTATCCTGTGGGCTACTTAGTGGACTCTCTGGCATCTATTTGATTTTTTACAGTTGCTCTGATGAAGGTCTTATCTTTAAGCCTGGTGTTTAACTGGAAATTGATGGTAGTGAAGACTCCTACCTTAGATTTTTAAAAAGGAATGAAAACTCAGTTATAAAACTGAGGCAAATTTAAGTTTCACTAAAAAAAAGTATGATTAGACACCCAGGCCTTCTTTTATATGGTATTTTATTTTTCCCCAGTAACATATAAAAACATGTTATATGTGAGGGCAGCTAGGTGGCGCAGTGGATAGGGCTTCTGCCCTGGAGTCAGGAGGACCTGAGTTCAAATCCGGCCTCAGACACATAACACTAGCCGTGTGACTCTGGGCAAGTCACTTAATCCCAATTGCCCTCACAAAAAAGAAAGAAAGAAAGAAGGAAAGAAAGAAGGAAAGAAAGAAAAGAAAGAAAGAAAGAAAAGAAAAATAGTCTAAAACATGTTATGTGTAACAATGTTCATGCCATCCCCTCTATTATCTTTGATCTGTTCCACATGTAACTTGTATGTACTGATGAAATAGTTGTTATCTGTTCTTTTAGAACCTAAGCTTCTAGGGAGCAGGGAGTGTTTTTCTTTATAATCCAATGCTTAGCAAGCCACATAGTAAGTACTAAATTAATGATTGTTGATTAATTAATCAACTGAATTCCTTAGGTGTCTAGTTGTGGAATCTCCGGTCAAAAGGTAAAAAGACATTAATTAGTCCACAAACATTTATTAAGTACCTATTACGTGCCAGACTTTTCTCATATAATTCCAAACTGACTCTTATCAGGGAACACTGGACAGCCTAGAAGCACTCAGTGAATGCCTAAGAGAGGCAGATAGGCCACATGTGCGTAACCTCCACAGCAGGTTCTGGGGAAGAGGAAGTATCTGTGGTACTGAAGCCTCCCTGATCACCAGGCCTGAGCCTTGGTAGGTTTTTGTTCGAGAATATATCACTGTGGGAGGATAACTATAGCTCTGCTGACAGTAATAGACTGCAGCATCCTCAGCCTCCATGTTACTGATGGTGAGAGTGAAATCTGTCCCAGACCTACTGCCACTGAACCGGGCAGGGACTCCAGATGCCAGATTGGTGGCCCAGTAGATGAGGAGCCTGGGGGCTTGGCCAGGCTTCTGCTGGTACCAGTATAAGAGGTCATCACCATCACTATACGTGATACTCTCACTGGCCTTGCAGTTCATGGTGACTCTGTCTCCTGGAGATGCGGACAGGGAGGCTGGAGACTGTGTCAGTACAACAGCGCCATAGGAATCTAAAAGGAAAAAAATTAGATAAAGGTAGAAATACATGGACATCCCAGCCAAATAATTATACATGTGTTTAAATCCAGGAAGCCCCAGATCAACTTAATTGGCTATAAAAGTGAGATACTACTCTACTTGTTTCAGAGAAACAGTACAGTTTCTGAAAACTAGGTCCCTGCTGTGTCTGTAAGAACCTATCAGCCAGTGCTGGGGCTGAGTCCTTATCTCTTCTAGAGGAAGGGTCACAATAACCTTAAGCCTTAACACTGGCTCTCCTGGAAACCTATCCCCCCCGCCCTTTGGTATGTCTTACCCTGAGTCCAGAGCACCAGCAGCCAGAGAAGATGAGGCAGAGACATCATTCTGTCTCCTGAACACCTGCAGTTGATCCCTGAGCTCAGAGTGAGATAGAAAGTGGAGGCAGAAAGATATTTGTACCCAGAGCAGTCTCTGTGATAGGTCCCTTGGGTATTATTATGCAAAAGAAGCCCTAGGTCACAGGTCTCAGCTCATGGACAGCTGATGCCAGACTAAGACAAGGCTAAAACCATACATTGTGAGAATCTCTACTTTATGTATTTGATATTGTGATCTTGTGTGTTTGTGCCTTGTTCATAGACGTATTTGTGCCTTGTTTCTGACATAGGAATGATTGCCACAGGTCATGATGGATCAGCAGGAATGTCTGTTCATTGTTCTTTTGGGAAGACTAGATTTCTGATGTTATTAAGGAGAGCTCTAAGCCCAGAGGCTTGGGGTGCTGTTAAGGGGAGACAGGAGGTCACTGTTGGTAGGTTTCTGGGGTTTTTTTCTTTTTAAAAATTTTATTAATTTATTTTGATTTATCAATAATTACTTCCATATGCTTTTGAGTTTAAAATTTTTCTCCCCCTTCCTCCCCACCACCCTCCCCAAGAAAGTGCACAATCTGATATAGGCTATACATTTATATTCCTATTAAACATATTTTCACATTAGTGGGGTTGTAAGTAAAAATTAAAGCCAATAGGAGGAACTATCAGAAAGAGAAAACAAAACTCAACAGAAGAGAAAAAGTTAGTAATTCAACTTTCATAGTTCTTTCTTTGGATATGGATAGCATTTTCCATCATGAGGCCTCTGGAGATGTCTTGGATCCTTGTATTGTTTTTTATGTCTCTCTTGAATCTTGTACTTGAAGATCAAATTTTTTGTTGAGCTCTGATCTTTTTATCAGGAAGGTTTGGAAGTCCCCGATTTTGTAGAATATCCATCTCCTCCCTTGAAATATCATGCTTATTTTCACTGGGTAGTTGATCCTTGGCTGCAATCCAAGCTCCTTTGCCTTATGGAATATCATGTTCCATGCCCTGTGGTCTTTTAATGTAGAAGCTGCAAGGTCCTGTGTAATCCAGACAGTGGTTCCATGATATTTAAATTGCTTTTTTCTAGCTGCTTGCAGTATTTTCTCTTTCATCTGGTAATTTTGGAATTTAGCTATTATATTTCTTGGCATTTTCAATTTGGGATCTCTTTCAGGTGGTGAGCAGTGAATTCTTTCTGTGGTTATTTTACCTTCTTGTTCCAGGACTTCAGGACAGTTTTCCTTTATGATTTCCTGAAAGATATTGTCCAGACTCTTTTTTTCATCATGATTTTCAGGTAGTTCAATAATTTTTAAGTTGTCTCTCCTGGATCGATTTTCTAGGTCAGTTGTTTTACCAGTGACGTATTTTATGTTTTCATCTATTTTTTCATTTTTTTGTTCATGTTTGACTGGTTCTTGCTCTCTCATAGAGTCATTAGTTTCCATTTGTCCAATTCTAATTTTTAACAGATTGTTTTCTTCTGTTAGTTTTTGTGCTTCCTTCTCCAATTGGCCAATTATATTTTTTAGGGATTTGTTTTCTTCAGTGTACTTTTTTTCTAATTGGCCAATTGTATTTTTTAAGGACTCTTCTACCTCTCTCATTTGACTTTTAAAATCCTTCTTGAGCTCTTCTAAGAAGGCTTTTTGGGCTTCAGACTGATTCATAGTCCCTTTTGATGTTGCAGATGTGGGTTTGTTGACAATGTTGTCCTCTTCAGAATTTCTGTCTTGATCTTCACTCTTCTCATAATATGAATATATGGTGCGTTTCTTTTTACTCATAGTGTTTCTTTATTCCTTGGCCTTTAAAGAGATTGAGCTCTGCTGCTGGGTAGCAGATGGCACTAACCCAAGCTTCTTGTGTTGGGAGCCTAGGTCTTGGTCACTGGCTTTGTGTGCTGGGGCCTCTTCTGTTGGCAATCGGGTTCTGGCAGCTTACCTGGTGTTGGGTTGTAATCAGCAAGGCTAGAACTTTTAGGCAATTCTAGGTTGCCTGCTTTTCCTTTCCTTTAGCTTTCTTCAGCTCCTTTTAGATGGGTGCTGCAGGGTGTTTATCTGCCTCTCTGGGTTTTATTTTTAATTCTGCCTCCCTACTTCTCCCCTGAATGGAGGAAGAGGGCCTAAGACATCCATACTGAGGACTTCTTGATATAGAGACTACTGTTTTCCTGGGTAAAACAATGGGTATATCTATCCTTGTCTCCGTCTCCCATTCTGAGACATGAGGTCAGCAGTGACGACCTGTTGCTGGAGAGAATATATGCAGTGGGACTGAGCATTTTCTGTTGAGGAGATGAGACATACTTGGATGGAAGAACATAGTCCCATCCAAGGGGATAATTTCTGCTGGTCCTGGGTGAGGGCTGTTGGTTTTTCTGAAAGTGCTGGAGAAAGCTTGTGGGCTTTAACTAGAAAGAGGGTGCTTTTCTCTTGAGCACAGATGAGTTTGCAGCTGAGTTGGAAATTGGAGGCAACACAGTATGCAGGAGAGCGACTTCTGGAGAAGTTATTCTTTCAGCTCAGTCAATGCATTTGACCAAGAAAGGTCCAGCAGAGGTTATGAAAACATGGGGAGAAGTACAGGGATAAGTAGCATCACCAGAAAATGCCAGTGTTCCTGGAAAGTTGGAGGAGTGAATTACCCCTCTCTATGTGTACCACGGCCACATGTGCGTCCCCTGTGGATACCCTTCCATAGTTTCCCTGTTACCTACTTATCTTTGAGAAATGCCTCTGCATGATGCTTGGACCACAAATCACGTGTATGTGTGCATATGTGTGTGCATGAGTGGGTATGTGTGGTTGTGTGTGTGCGTGTGCATATGCATGCAACCTTTCCTATGTGCTTGCTCTGTGTGTGTACTTTCTTCACCCATGCTAGTTAAATTTGTGTGAGAGGGGGCCTCAGATTTTTGGAGAAAATGCTTTCTTCCCCAACCTGAAGTTATTTAATTGTGTCTGTCAAGGAATCTTGTTTGGTTGTGACATATGCATGTCAAATGGCTCAAATACTTTTGTAGACTCCGATACAAAGAATAATAACAATGGGAGCTTGTATTTTGGCCTCCTTTCAGTCAGCTGTGTGACTGTAAAGATGTGATGCCATTTGAGGAAGACTATTCAATGCGTATACCTTCATCAAGTATGGCCTCAATATAGATGTCAATTATTTTCATAAAGATTTAATAGAGAGGCAATAGAAAGCATTGGTGTCACTGGTTAGTGATACCATCTCATTGTGTTTTTCAGTAGCAAGAGTGTCTGTGATTTTTTTCTAATTGTTTGGAATCTTCCTCTCTTTTAGACATCTTGAGACTTGACCCTTACAAGTCCCCAAAATTGTGTTGCCTTCAGTGGAGACCTCCTCTGTCTACCCTTGGTCTGCTCCAGCTGCCCTCTTCCTATTTGTATTCTTAATCATTCTCCTTCAATGTGCCTCCAAAGGGGACATTGAGAATAAGCCAAATGTGGCAGCTCCACTATCAGTGACAAAGAAAGTAGTTCCTGGCAAAAATCTTGGCAGATTTTTTTTCATTTTTTCCATTTCTAGTTCTCCAATCAATTTCATCCCTTGAGATGACCTGGATTAATTGTGTCTTGCACACGTAAAACTATTTCCCCCTCCAATACTTGTCAGTGTTTTAGGTGGCAATATGGCTTATAATCTGCCCACATAAGATGCAAATTTTCTATTGCCTTTCTGTAAACCAGAGTTAGCCTTGCTGCACGATTGCTCGTTCTTTGGCATGGAAATCAATATTGGAGAGAAGAGGGAGTTTTTTGCAAGGCTCTTTTGTCCTACTTATATTGGTGATTGCCTTACATTGCTTAAACTTCCATAGGTTATGAAGGTGGTACATGACATTTAGCTGTTTCTCATTTTTTTCCCATCAACAGATTGCTTAAATATATAAAGTTTGAGCTGTTTTCAATGTATTTCACGTGATCTAATTTAATTTTTCTTAAAATTACATGTTGATTTTCTTTTCTTTTTGTCATAGAGACAGCTAAGTGATACAGTGGATAGAGTGCTGGCCCATAGTCAGGAAGAGCTAAATTCAAATCTCCCCTTAGATACTTACTAGTTATTGGTCTTGGGGGAATCACTTTACCTCTGTCTGCCTCAGTTTCCTCCACTATAATATGGGGATAATAATAGCACCAGCCTCCCATGGTTGTTGTGAAGATCAAATGAAATAGTATTTGGAAAGTCCTCAGCATAATGCCTGACACACAGTAGGTGTGTGCTTCCTATGTGTGAGCACTCTTTTTATTAATGCTAGGCACATCCATGTGAGAGAGGTCCCAGATTTATAGGGAAAAGGCTTTCTTCCCCAAGCTGAAGTTATTCCATTGTGTCTGTCAAGGAATCTTGCATGATTGTGACATATGCATGTTGAATGACTCAAGTGCTTTTGTAGTGTCAAGAATAAAGAATAGTAACAATGAGAGCTTATATTTTTTGCTCCTTTCAGTCAACTGTGTGACTATAAAGATGTGATACCATTTGAGAAAGACTATTCAATGCTCGTACCTTCATCAAGTGTGGCCTCAATATACATGTTAATCGTTTTTATAAAGATTTAATGGAGAGGCAATAGAAAGCACTGGTGTCACTGGTTAGAGATACCATCCCACTGTGGCTTTCAGCGGCAAGAGTGTCCATGATTTCTTCTAATTGTTCAGAATCTTGCTTTCTTTTAGACATCTTGAGACTCCATCCCTAACAGTCCTTAAACAGTGTTGCCTTCAGTGGAGATCTCCTCTGTCCATCTCTGGTCTGCTTCTGCTACTATCTTCATGGTTGTTTTCTTAGTCATTCTCCTTCCTCGTGCCTCAAATGAGGACAGTGAGAACACAAGCCCAATGTGGCAATCCCACCGTCAGTGACAAAGAAAATCATTTCTGGCAAAAACCTTGGCAGGCTTTTTCCATTTCCATTTCTAGCTCTCCAATTAGTTGAGATGATGTGGATTAATTGGGTCTTACACGAGTGAAATTATTTTCCCTCTAATACTTGTCAATATTTTACATGATAATGTGGTTTATAATCTGCCCATATAAAATATTATACAAATTTTCTCATGCCCTTCTGTACACCAGAGTTAGCCTTAGTGGGCCGTTGCTGATTCTTTGTCAAGGAAATCAAGAACCAAAGAGGCTGAGTTGTTTTTTGGGAGGCTCTTTTGTCCTACTTGTATTGGTGATTGCTTTACTTTGCTTGCACTTCCATAGGTCATGGGGTTAGTCCATGACTTTAACTACTTTTCATTTTTTCCCATCAATAGATTGCTTAAATATATAAAGTTTGAGCTATTTTCAATGTATTTCATAAAATCTAATTTAATTGTTTTTAAAATTAGGTATTGATTTTCCTTTCTTTTTGTTCTAGAGTCAACTAGGTGGTACAGTGAATAGAGTACTGGCTTATAGTCAGGGAGAGCTGCATTCGAATCTGTTTTTAGATGCTTACCATTTATATGATCCTGGGTGAATCACTTTACCTCTGTCTGCCTCAGTTGCCTCCAATATAATGTGGGGATAACAATAATACCTGCCTCCCATGGTTGTTGTGAAGATCAAATGAGATAACATTTGGAAAGTCCTCAGCAGAGTGACTGACACACAGTAGGTCCTCAATAAATGTTTGTTTACTTCTCATCATCTCTTCTCTCTCTCCATCTTTTCTTCCTTCTTTTCTTTCCTCATTCTTTCTTTCTCTCAAACGAGTCTATGTTCTGTTAAATGTCAGCTCGGGCAGTTGATTCAGAAATTACTCCTGGGGCAGCTTGGTGGTAACTGTAAAGTTCTGTGGCATTTTGAAGTCCATTGCAACCTTGTGAAGTCTGAATTTTACAATAAGAATTTAACGATCTGAGCCACAGTCAGCTTTATTTTAAATTCTCAATTGAATGCATAGAGCTTCTCTACCCTTGACTACACAGAATATAATCAGTCTGATTTTTATATTGTCTGATTTTTATATTGACCATCTGGTGAGTGGCCATGTGTACAGTCACCTTTTGAAGTGTTAGAAAAAAGTGTTTGTCATGACTGACAAGTTTTCCTTGACACAATTCTATGAATTGCTGCCCTGGTCTATTTTGTACTTCGAGCCCGAACTTTCCTGTTATACCAATTATCTTTTGATTTCCTACTTTAGCATTCCAATTCCCTGTGATAAATATGACATCTTTTTTAATTTTATTTCTCCAAGATGTTGTAAGTCTCCATACAAGTGATCAACTTTGGCCTCTTCGGCATCAGTGGTTGGAGCACACACACATGAGTGGTTTGTCTTGGATTTGACAGATATCATTCTGCGATTTTTGATATTCTACCTCAATACTGCATTTCTTCCTTTTATATTGACTATGAGGGCTACACCATTTCTGAGGGATTCTTGCCCACAGTAGCATATGTAATAATCACCTGAATCCACCCATTCCCATCTTCTTCATTTCACTGACACCCAAGATCTTGATGTTTATTTTTTTAGTCTCTTGTTTGACCACAACTAGCTTCTTTGGGTCATAGAGCTTACATTGCAGTTCCTTTGTAATATTAATCTTTACAGCATCAGACATTCCTTTTCTCACCAGACACGCCCACAGCTGAGCTTCCTTTTGGCTTTGACCAAGTAGCTTCATTCTTTCTGGAGCTACTTGCACTTGTCTTCCACCCTTCTCCAGTAGGGTGTTGGACATATTCTATCCTGTGGGGTTCTTCTTCCAGTGTCATAACTTTCATCATTTTAATCCTGTCTAAGTATTGGGTTTTCCTGACAATGATACTAAGGATTGGTTTGTCATCTTTTGTCAAAATTCTCCACTATGACCTGTCTATTCTGGATAACCCTGCATAGAAGAGCTCATAGTTTCATTGCAGTACAAATCTCTCCACCACCACAAGGCAGTGATTCAGGAGGAGCTTGATATACTGCAGGTGCCAATTGGGAAAAAAAATGACCTATGGCCTTTAAAGATGACCTTTAGCTCACGTTCAGCTCCTTGGCCTGGAACTGCTCTTTCTGACCTTTCTCAGTCTGGTCTGGCCCACTGCCATTTCTTTCCTTGTCATTCAAGTTCTGTGATTAGCATTTCCCAGGACAACTCCTGATGTTTCCCTGTATAAGGTAGTCTTCTCTAGGTCCCCAAGTCTCATTTTAGGTTTTTAATGGACAGACTTATTGGATCACAGAGACACCTAAAGCCCAGGCATGGAGAATGAAGGAGAGGGAATGGGTAGCTTAGAAAAGGGAAGTTTGAGGGATAAACCTGGGTCCTTAAGAAAGGAAGAGGGCTCCAAGTATTCTTGTCTCAAGGTCCCCACCTCAGGTTCTGTCTCTGTCAGTCACCCAACTTATTAATTGCCCAGCATTTCAATAGGATGTTATTGGTGTTATATGGGGTTATGGATCTGATTTAGACTTGATTGGAATCTCCCAAGGGAGGAATAATAGATTATTGATTGAAGATTGAAAGGACAGATGGAAAAGTAGCTGAGTGGTGGGTTTTGGGTACCTCCTTTCAATGAGTGTCTTAGTGGCTTGTGTTTATTTTTGGAAATCTAGCTTGAGAATAGGCAGACATTAATCACTTACTCTGTCAATAGATTAACAAGTGTGTGTCCAACATTATTCCCATGGCCTCATGCCCAGTTTTGTAAGAATCTCCTCATTGATTAATATTTTGATATACTCAATATGTTGGTCATAAATTTTGTATAAAATAGATGCTTTATATGAATATATGTTAACATATAACATATAGTATTTATATGCATATATTTATGTTTTAACATACTCAGTGTTCCATACCTGTATCAGGGATGGAGTTGGGAGGAGGGCAATCCTAGTCTTCAGATTTCCAGCTTTGAGTGGGCTGACAGGTAGTTCTTGATTTTCTCCAGGGAACATTCTCTGAAGGGAGAGAAGTCTGGGAAGGAGTCAACATATAGAGGAGTCAACAACTCTATCATGTCTTTATCCCAAGCATCCTACAGTGGAGACTTGGGGGAATTTCCTCTTGGATGGTATCTGGGATGTTCTCTTAGACCAACTGAGACACTTCACTCTGTGCAGGAATGTTCAATCACTCTTTGTATTGTCTGGTAGACAGACAGACAGACAGATAGGGAGATAGAGAGATAGAGAGATAGATAGAGATGTAGATATAGCTTGAGACACTCCTACCTCAGTAAGGGACAACAATTCTTTTCCCCTTTTATTTCTTCTTTGGGAATATCTGGAATGCTTTTTTAGATCAATGTATATATTTCACTCTGAGCAGGAAAACTAATTTACTAGGTGTGTTGTCTAGTACATTCTCATCTGTATCATTCCTCTGTTTTCTGTTTACTATCAGCCTGGATAAAAGGGTTCCTTTGATACATGATTTCTGTGGTCTTTGTGTAACTGGCATTTGGTGGGAAAGGAACCAGATCTGGGATATTTATAGCCCAGGGCAATCCTTCCCCAGTAAGGGCTGGCAATGAGGAGCTCAGCTTGGACTTCAAAGTATTTGTTCTCTTAGACTAACATTATTAAGATAGAGAAAAAAGTTATAATTCTAACCAGGCACCAAATCTATGAGGAGAGCAGAATTGCCAGCTTCCTGGCAACAATCCCTTCTTCCCCTTCTTTGTAGGAATTAAAGTCTTCCTTGGAAAAGATTGGGCAGAGGAGACGCTAGACAGACCTCTTTAGGGCCTGCTGACATGAACTGATAAAAAATTAGATAAAAATCTAAAAAACATGATCAGAGAAAATGAGGAAAGGATGTCAAATTTAACTTTGGCCCACTGAGAGATTTCTTTAGGCTGCTGCCTCATCTTCTTGAATTCTTCAGTCCATGAGTCTTTGCTTTCTTTGGAATAATGAGATAGGAAGAAAGGACAGTAAGAATCTCTGGCTAAAGATTTCTGGTTTCTTCATCATTTCTTGCTCAGTGGTGAGTCAGGTGAAATATGAAGGAGAGAGTGCCTCAGGCTCAGGGTATTGTAGGGTGGCCCGATCTGAGAGGGGCTACTTCTTTCCTTAACTACACTGCTCATGGCTGAAGAGGAGCAAGAGCCCTCAGAGCACAGAGCTGCCAGACCATGGCCTTTCCCTTGAGCCCTGAGTCCCTTTTCTCCTGTCAGCCCCAGAGACCCTGCCCCTGAGCAGGCAGCCCAGCAGCTGCTGGAGGAGAGGAAGTAGAGGAGGCAGCTGAGCCCCCCTGACCAGCCAGCCTATGCCTGGGGAAGTTTTTGTTCTGGGATGTAACACTGTGCGAGGTTGAGAAGTTCCTTGAAAACAGTAATAATTTGCCCCATCCTCAGGCTCCACACTGGTGATTGTGAGGGTGAAATCCTTCTCAGCACCACTGCCACTGAATCGGGCAGGGACTCCTGAGTGCAGGTTGGAAACTTTGTACATGAGTCTCTGAACAGACTGTCCAGGTTTCTGTTGGAACCAGGTCAGATGAGTGTTTCCATTACTGTGTTTCACACTCTCACTGGCCTTGCAGTTGATGGTGACTCTTTCTCCTGGGATCACAGACACTGAGGCTGGAGACTGGGTCAGCACAATTTCCCCCCCTGGAACCTAAAAGCAGGAAATAATGATGAACCAACATGAAATAAACAGAACAATCTCCTTCCACTTTGATATTTTGCCCACAGCAGCCTGGCTCTGCAAACCCCACTGATCTTACAGAAATCCACATTCCCCCTTGGACTGTGCTGGCTCATGGCCCCAGAGATTCTAATCTGCTTTGAATTCTTTCATCTTATGAAAATTGCACGTCTGCATGTTGTGTTGTCCCATGTTCTCACCTGGGACCCAAAGCATGAGGAGCCCACAGAGAAGCTGGGACAGTGCCCCCATTTTGCAGTGTCTCCTCCCCTGTGGCTGCTCTGCCCCCAGCCCCAGTTTATCTCCCTGGGTGTGCAGACCCTCCCTTGGGGATCTCTTTATGTAAAGCAGTTGGGGCTGTGGGGCTTCTAGGAGCAGAAGTGGCTGACTCCAGTTCCGGGGAAGGCCCTGAGACCTTGATACCCTGAAGATGTCATTCCTCCAGAGATCTTCATACGGTGGGTGCTCCTGCTTTTTCCAACTATCCTTAGGAGTTTTTGTTAGCTTTGGTCAGTTTTATGGTTTCATGGGGCTGCTAGGTGGTGCAGTGGATAGAGTACTGATCCTGGGGCTAAGTATACTCACCTTCCTGAATCAAATCCTGTCTTGGTCACTTACTGGGTGTGAGAGCATGAGCAAGTCACTTAACCCTGTTTGACTCAGTTTCCTCATCTGTAAAATGAGATGGAGATAAAAATAACAAATCATTTCAGAATCTTTGCTAAAAAAAATCCCCCACCTAATAGGGTCATGAAGAGTCAGAAATGACTGAATAATAACAAAAATACTTCCAAAAGGCCAGAGATATTATATAAAAAGCAATATTGTCTAGTGAAATGAGATCAGGACCTGAAGGCAGCAAAGTTCTGAGAGCTACTGACATCCTGCATATTACTCCAACAAATCACCTGATTTCCCACTAATTAGTGGTCCTTTGGGGGTCTTAGCATCAAGCCTCCTAAAATGGAAGACCAGGCATTCTTTCATTCCTTGTTATGGACCAGCGTTATTTCCCACTCTCATTTCCCTGAAGGAATCAGCTATACTGAAGTAATGGTATTGGGGAAGTCTGAGGTGGGGCAGGAGGGAAAAGTAATTCATATCTAGAAGAGTCTGGGTGAGGGAAGGCAGGACTGAGTGGACATTGGCCTGAAGGCTTTTGGGCAGCCAAGGGGAAGGGAAGCTGGTAATGGGAGTCTGGCCTCAGAAAATGATGTCAAAGAAAAGCAAGGTAATTTCTCCCAGAACTGAGAGATTGAGTGTCCTGTTTGAAGAGCAGCAAGGCTAGAGTATTACAACCATAGAGTAGTTGGAAGAGATCAAAGTGTAAGATTGAAAAGGTAAGCAGGGTCTGGGTTTTTAAGGACTTTCAAAGCCAAACAGAAGATTAACAGCACTTATGACAATAACTGGGAAAGCAGAGGAATGGTGAAATGGATACCTCAGTATGAATCAATAGGCTATCTACTTAAAGTGAAAAAAATAGAAATCATTATTAAGCTTCATTCATCATTAAAATCCAAACCTTCACATGAACCTCCTAAATGCAGACATTTCTTAAGAAAATTTTGGAATTGACACAATGGAGAACCCTGAAATCTGAGGTGCCTTGACAGGATCTAGCCAGGAAATGTTAAGGGTCAGAGATTGTGTTACAATATGAATTTAATGGAAAGGAAAAGGATGACAGGCAGGGAGAATGGGAGAATTTGACAAGAGTTGGAATGTAAGGCAGACTCCTTCAAGGTGAAAGGTTTATTAGACTTTATATTAGTATAACAGACATGGTCCACACTCAGCTCTGTCCTTCTTAGGGGTTAATCCAGATATTCCTTGCATGGTTCTGGTCTGTCTCATGACAGTTATTGGTTCTTTTTCTGGTCACGTATGACTGAAAGCTTGTACTGTGTACTGCATTTATGTTTTCTCTGTAAGACTAATGTCTAAGGCAGCTAGGTTGCACAGCGGATAGAGCACCAGCCATGGAGTCAGAAAGACTGAAGTTCAAAACCAGTCTCAGAGCAGACACTTGCCACTTACTAGCTGTGTGACCATAGTCAAGTCACTTAACTCCAGTTGCCTCACCGAAAAAAAAAAAAGAGTAATGTCTAACTCTGTGCTTTTGTCTACACTATGCCCAGTTTGTCCCTACTCCCAGGGAATTGCCCCCCTGACATTCCTCTCTGGTTAAAATTGTCCTGCCACTGACAGGGGCCCTGTTGGTATCCGTTGGATCCCTGACTGGTACTGCATCCATCTTTGGCATGCTGTATTCATCTGTCTGGAACCTCTTGGCAGAACTAGCCATGGTCCCGAAGCACACAGGAAAGCTTGTCTGCAGTCTCCAAGGGCAAGTTGATTCACTTGTCCTCGTGGCATGACAAAATCGTTGGGTGCTGGACGCCCTAACGACTGAGAGAGGGGTGACCTGCAGTGTCATTGGGGAGGAATATTGTTTTTATCTCAAACAATTCTCTCAAATAAAGACAGACTTTAGTGCTCTAAGTAAGTGGAAGATTTATGGAAAAGGGCTCAAGTCACTCTGAAGTCTGTTTCCCTCTCACTTTACTTTGATCTACTCTCCTGGTGACCTGAAAACCTCGGCAGCATTTCTCCCTTCTGCCCTCCCTGCTCTGATATTTCATTCTCTTATTTGCCTTGCCATCTACCTTGGCATTCAACTTGTAACTCATTTTTCTCCCTAGACTTTTCTAGGATGTGAGAGACTGGGATCTGTGGCCCCCACAGCTGGGCTATTAGACCCAGCCCTCCCCAGGGCTCTGTGGTGTCTCTGACTCAGGGGCTCTGGAGGAAGCAGCTGGTCTCCTGAGCTAAAGAGCTCAACAGCCTGGGGAGGTTCTTGTTCAGGCCTGCACCACTGTGGGTTAGGGTACTCATAATAATGCTGACAGTGGTAATGTCCGATATCTTCAGCTTCCACACTGCTGATTGTGAGAGTAAAATCTGTCCCAGATCCACTGCCACTGAAGCGGGCAGGGACCCCAGGCACTAGGTAGGTAGCAGCATAGATAAGAGGCTTGGGAGCTTTTCCTGGTGGCTGCTGGTACCAGGTTAACCAATTACCAATGTCCTTACTGGCTCTGCAGTTGATGGTGACTCTCTCTCCCACAGTCATAGGAAGGGAGGCTGGAGACTGGGTCAGCACAATGGCTGCACTGGACTCTTGATTGGAAAAAAGAAAATGAGAAGAAATAGATTTAGGAAGGAACCATATTCACACGCAATGAATTCCCCAGTAAGTTCCCCTCCTTTCAGACAGTTTGTTTGGTGACTGAGTCTGAGATGTCATTCCCAGAGGCTATAAGGACCATTCCCTTATACATCTTCCCCTTCCCATGTCCCTCATATATTTCCCAGTTTTGGAACCTCCTAGATCACCTCAAGCAGCATTACCCTATGGCTGGTCTTACCCTGAGCCCAGAGCACCAGGAGGCAGAGAAGCTGGGGTGCAGATATCATTCTGTCCTTTGTAGACCTGTAGGAAGAGAGCTCTGAATCAGAATGAGACAGATGGGGAGAGAAAGATAGTTATACCTCAGAACACATTTGTGCAAAGTTGCTGAGATATCAATATGCAAAACAATCCCAGTAACCACCTCTTCTCTCTAAGCTTCATTTCCAGAGGCCAGATGAAGGTCAGACTCTATACTAGATTTACTGCAGCATGTTACATCTTGCTTTAATGATTACACTTTCTAGTTATATCTCTGCCAAGCTTGCCTGCAGGGTGTCAACCTTTTTATCAAAGGTTTGGTTCAAAGAAACAAACAGAATCAGTTTCCCCCTCAATCAAACATTTGTGCTAAGAACAAACAGAAAGGGGTACCTTAACCAAAGGTTTGTCCAAATAACAAACAGAATGTGGTTTCCTCTTAACCAAAGGTTTGTTCAAGAACAAACAGAATGGGGTTTACCTTACCAAAGATTTGAACAAAGAACAAAAAGAATCAAGCTGTACATGTGCTATGACATGCTTATTTATTCTCAGTAAGCCAAAGAACCATTTATAATGGAGTCAGAAAACAATTCTGAACTCAGAGGTAAACAGGCTGAAAGAGAAACTTCATTCACTTAGAGCAATCTCAATTCAGGATGCCTATGTCAACCAAAATTATAGTCTCTATATGTGTTTAACCGCAATGTGAGAAAAAAATTTCTGAATGGAATGGGTTGTAAGTACAAAAAAATAAGAGAATGTCAACGTATCAGTTGAAATTATAGATCCAGGATGTCTGTGTTTCTTTATTTTTTTCACATTAGTCATGTGTAAGGAAGAATTATAACCAATACAGGGAACCACAAGAAAGAGGAAACAAAACAAAACCGAAGAAAAAAAAATAGTAATTATTATGCTTTGATCTGCATTCAAACTCCATAGTTCTTTCTTTGGATGTGGATAGCATTTTCCATCATAAGACTTTTGGAGATGTCTTAGATCCTTGCATTGTTGAGAAGGGCTAAGTGTATCAAAGTTGGTCATCGAATAAGTTCGCTGTTACTGTGTACAATGTGCTTCTGCTTTTGCTCACTTTACTCAGCATCAGTACATACAGGTCTTTACAGGTTTTTCTGAAGTCCACCTGCTCATCATTTGTTATAGCACAATAGTATTCCATTACATTCGTATGCCATGACTTGTACAGCCATTCCCTCGATTTCCAATTCTTGGCCACCACAAAAAGAGCTGCTACAAATAGCTTCGTACATGTGGGTCCTTTTGCCATTTTTGTGATCTCTTTGGAATACAGCCTTAGAAGTGATATTGCTGGGTCAAAGGGTATGCACATTTTTGGGGTTATTTTTTAAAATTAATTAATCAACAATCACTTCTATAAGATTTTGAGTTTTAGGGGCAGCTAGATGTCACAGTGAATAGAGCACTGGCCCTGGAGTCAGGAGGACTTGAGTTCAAATTCAGCCTCAGACACATGACACTTACTAGCTGTGGGACCATGGGCAAGTCAGTTAACCCCATTGCCTACCCAAAAAGACAAAAACAAAAAACAAAAACAAGATTTTGAGTTTTAAATTTTTCTCCCCCTCTCTCCACACTTCCCTCCCTAAGACAGCATGCCATCTGATACAGGCTATACCTATACATTCTTATTAAACATATTTTGACATTAGTGATGTTGTAAGGAAGAATTAGAACCAATAGGAAGGACCACAAGAAAGAGGAAACAAAACACAACGGAAGATTAAAAAAAAATAGCAAATGGTATGCTTCAATCTGCATTCAAACTCCATAGCTCTTCGTTTGGATGTAGATAGCATTTTCCATTGTGAGGCCTTTGAAGGTGTCTTAGATCCTTATATTGCTGAGAGGGGTTAAGTCTATCAATAATAGTCATCACACAATATGGCTGTTACTGTGTACAACATTCTCCTGGTTCTGCTCACTTCACTCAGCATCAGACCATACAAGTCTTTCCAGGTTTTTCTGAAGTCCGCCTGCTCATCATTTCTTATAGCACAATAGTATTCCATTACATTCATATACCACAACCTGTCCAGCCATTCCCCAATTGATGGGCATCCTCTCAATTTGCAATTCTTTGCCACCATGAAAAGTGCTGCTATAAATATTGTGGTACATGTGGGTCCTTTTCCCATTTGTATGATCTCTTTGGGCTATAGCCCTAGAAGTGCTACTGCTGGGTCAAAGGGTATGCACATGTTTATAGTCCTTTGGGCATAGTTCCAAATTGTTCTCCAAAATGGTTGGATCATTTCACAACTCCACCAACATTGCATTAGTGTTCCATTTTTTCCCACATCTTCTCCAACATTTATCATTTTCCTGTTTTGTTGTGTTAGCCAATCTGATAGGTGTGATGTGGTACCTCAGAGTTGTTTTGATTTGCATTTCTCTAATCAATAGTGATATAGAGCATTTTTTCATATGACTATAGACAGCTTTAATTTCCTCATCTGAAAACTGCCTGTTCATATCCTTTGACCATTTATTGATTGGGTAATGACTTGTATTCTTATAAATTTGACTTAGTTCTCTATATATTTTAGAAATGAGGCCCTTATCAGAGACACTGGCTGTAAAATTTCTTTCCCAGTTTTCTGCTTCCCTCTTAATCTTTGTTGCATTAGCTTTGTGCAAAAACTTTTCATGTTAATGTAATCAAAATTAGCCACTTTGCATTTTACAATGTTCTCTAACTCTTGTTTGGTCATAAATTCTTCAGTTCTCCATAAATCTGACAGGCAAACTATTCCTTGTTCTCCCAGTTTGCTTATAGCATCAGCTTTTATATCTAAATCATGTACTCATTTTGACTTTATTTTGGTATAGTGTGTAAGATTTTGTCTATGCCTAGTTTCTGCCATACTCTTTTCCAGTTTTCTCAGCAGTTTTTGTCAAATAGTGAGTTCTTATCCCAGAAGCTGGGGTCTTTGCATTTATCAAGCAGTAGGTTACTATAGTCATTGACTACTGTGTCTTGTCTACCTAACCGATTCCACTGATCCACCACTCTGTTTCTCAGCCAAGTAGTTTTGATGATTGCTGCCTTATAATACAATTTAAGATCTGGTATGGCTAGCCTGCTGTCCCTTGCATTTCTTTTCATTAGTTCCTTTGATATTCTGGGCCTTTTGTTCTTCCAAATGAATCTTGTTATTAATTTTTCTAGCTGTATAAAATCATTTTTGGTAGTTTGATTGGTATGGCACTGCATAAGTAAATTAACTTAGATAGCATTGTCATTTTTATTATATTAGCTTGGCCTACCCATGAGCAACCGATGTTTTTCCAATTATTTAAATCTGACTTTATTTGTGTGAAAAGTGTTTTGTAATTTTATTCATATAGTTCCTGGGTTTGTTTCAGCAGGCATACCCCTAAATATTTTGTAATGTCTATAGTAATTTTAAATGGAATTTCTCTTTCTATCTCTTGCTGTTGGGCTTTGTTGGTAATATTTAGAAATGCCAATGATTTATGTGGGTTTATTTTATAACCTGCCAGTTTGCTAAAGTTGTTTATTATTTCAAGTAGTTTTCTCCAAGTATATTATCATATCATCTGCAAAGAGTGATAGCTTTGTTTCTTCTTTACCTATTCTAATACCTTCAATTTCTTTTTCTTCTCTTATTGCTAAGGCTAATGTTTCCAATACCATATTGAACAACAGTGGTGATAATGGAACCCTTGTTTCATCCCTGATCTTATGGGAAATGCTTCTGCCTTTTCCCCATTACATATAATGCTTGCTGAAAGTTTTAGGTAGGTGCTAGTTATCATTTTAAGGAAGTCTCTACTTATATACTCTGTATATACTCTGTACTGTTTTCAATAGGAATGGGTGTTGTATTTTGTCAAATGCTTTTTTTGTATCTATTGAGATAATCATGTGGTTTCTGTTAGTCTCTTTTTGTTGATATGATCAATTATGCTGATAATTTTCCTAATATTGACCAATCACTGTATTCCTGGTATAAATCCTACCTGGTCATAGTGTATTCTTTTTGTGATAAGTTGCTGTAATCCTTTTGCTAATATTTTATTTAAAATGTTTGCGTCTATATTCATTAGGGAAATTGGTCTATAATTTTCTTTCTCTGTTTTGACTCTTCCTGGTTTAGGTATCAGCACCATACTGGTATCATAAAAAGAATTTGGTAAAACTCCTTCTTTGCCTACTTTCCCAAATAGTCTATATAGCATTGGAATTAATTATTTTTCAAATGTTCAGTAGAATTTGCTTGTAAATCCAACTGGCCCTGGATATTTTCTCTTAGAAAATTCGTTGATGGCTTGTTCAATATCTTCTTCTGAGATGGGGTTATTTAAGTATTTTACTTCCTCTTCTCTTAATCTGGATAATTTATATTTTTGTGAATATTCATCCATTTCACTAAGATTGTAAAATTCATTGGCACACAGTTGGGCAAAATAGTTCCTAATTATTGTTTTAATTTCCTCTTCCTTGGTGGTGGATTCACCCTTTTTATTTTTTATATTGGCGATTTGGTTTTCTTCTTTCTTTCTTTTAATCAAATTAACCAAAAGTTTGTCTATTGTATTGGTTTTTTCATAAAACCAGCTTTGAATTCAATAGTTTTCTTAATTTCAATTTTATTAATCTCTCCTTTGGTTTTCAGTATTACTAATTTAGTATTTAATTGGGAATTTTAAATTTTTTTCTTTTTCTAGTTTTTTTAAGTTGCATGCCCAATTCATTGATCTCCTCTTTCTCTATTTTATTCATGTAACTATTTAGAGATATACAACTTCCCCTAAGAACTGCTTTCACTGCATTCCATAAGTCTTGGTGTGTTGATTTATTATTGTCATTCTCTTGGATGAAGTTATTGATTGTTTCTATGATTTGTTGTTTGACCCACTCATTCTTTAGGATTAGGTTATTTAGTTTCCAATTAATTTTTAGTCTCTTTCCATGGCTCTCTATTACATGTAATTTTTATTGCATCATGATCTGAAAAGTATGTATTAAATATTTCTCCTTTCTGCATTGGATTGTGAGGTT